CCCTACGGCCCCAGCCCAGGCCCCTGAGAGCCAAGAGGTCCCCACTCACCCCAGCTGGTGAACTCCCACTTCATCTCCACGTAGAAATCGGGGGCCTGAGATAGACCAGAGCACCGATCAGGGCCCTGCCTGCAGCAGGGCCCAGCGGGCCTGGGAAGCCCCTTGTCCACAGGCCCCCTTCTGGGAGCCCAGCCCTTCCCTAACCAGGGATCAAACCCAGCCCCCCACAGTGAAAGCACGGAGTGCCAACCAGGGAATTCCCTCAGTGAGATGCGATGTGCCGCCGTGGTCCAGCTTTGCCCCCAACCCAGCCAAACCCCACCCAGTAAAGGGTGGGTGGGCCAAGTGGGGCCTGAAAGGTCTGCAAATCATCAGGCTATAAGCATCGGCAAGCCTGGGGCCAGGCTCAACCTGGCCACTAGCCCACTGGGGGTCCCTGGGGGAGCTTCTGCCCCCTCTGGATCCCAGAGTCCTCATCTGCAAAGGGGGCATAGTGACCCCCTGGGGCCCTGCCCCTGGGATGGAGGGCACAAGGTAGTGTGCTCTCCCAGTGGGGGACCCCCTGCCCACCCACTGTGTGCTTTGAGAAGGGTGGACAGGAGTCCAGGCCACGTCCACTAAGTTGGATGAAATCCTCCTTTCAGTAAACCTGCATTAACCAGGAGACCCATGATCTAAAGCTCTGTTGAGATTTCTAGCACTAGGGGACCCTCTACGCTGGCAAAAGGATTTCTCTCCACAGGGAGAAAAGCCTCATCCATGTGGGCCTGGTTGCCTCTCTTTCCTACATGACCCTGGGCTGGGGTCAAGAGAAAGGGACCTCACTGACAGTGTCAGGAAAGCATGCTGCACAGGCTGGGTGCCCTTCCAAGGCCAGGCCCGGCAGGGTTACCCCACATAGTCTGTCACGGTCCCCTCCATGGCGCCCCACACCCCCCGTTACTGGCCACACCTCTACGTCCTGCTGTACCTGGCGGAGTTTGTTGAGCAATTCCGGAATGCCAGCCAGCCTCTGCGTGGCCCTCTGGTAGTCCCGATACTGGAGTACCAGCTGCACCATCTCAGGGTCCCCAGTGCTGACTGCCTCCTGCAGGACTGGGGGCACTGGGCTGCTGAGGGGAGCTCTCTAGATGGCTCCAGGCCTGGCCATTCACTCCCACACACCACCACCCGCCGTTGCCAGCCTCAGGGCAGCCCCTTTGCCCTCTGCAGTACCTGCCCAGCCCTGGCAGCTCTCTTTGCCCACGTTGGCATTGTGTCGAAGGAGGACTCTCACGGACTCCAGGTTCCCCAGGGACACGGCCAGCTCCAGGGGGGTGCGCCCCCGGGGGTCTTCCTGTTCGATGTCGTGCTGGGGGAGATGAGACACTCAGCACAGGGCAAGTAAGGAGAGGCCAAGGCAAGAAGGCCACTGGGATGAACAGGGTTGGGAGTCACTGCAGGAAATAAGGACAGCACACAGGTGGTGGAAATGGCAAAGGGTGGCCTGAGTGTCCTGGCAAAGGAGGAGAGAGGGTAGGTGGGAAAGGCCTGCCCACCTCTCCTGCCCTCTGCGGGGGACAGAGCTGGGGGCCTGGTGGTGGTGGTGCGCAGGGGCGGGGGTGGGGTGGGGGGAGCGCCTGGTCTGCTAGCGGTACAGCTGCCGATGTCAAGAGTTTGGACTGACTTGGGGACCAGTACCGGGCTGCTTTTCTCAGCCTGGCTTAGGGGTGGTGCGGCGCGAGTTCGGAGGCTGGATGCAGTGTGAAGTGGGGAGACCGACAGGGCAAGGCCCAGCGCTGGGAGCCGAGGCCAGAAGCCCAAGCTCGAGGGGCAGGTGACCTCTCTTCTGGGCCGGGAAGAGGGAGCCGGGCAGGCGGCCTCCCGATGCAGACCACAGATTTGGGTGGGGGACCAGGAGGACGGCCCGGACGCCCGATGGGCCTCACCTGGCGGCTGTGCAGCGCGGCCTCCAGTTCGCGGTGCCGGTTCGCCCAGACTAGCCGATGCAGCGGGAAGGTGGGGCCCGGGCCTGCCATGCTGGGCCTCAGCGCCTCATCCCGGGCGAGCCGGCGGGCGCGGCGGGGGGGGGCCGGCGCCCCCCCCCCCCCCTGCCGATGCAGGGGACACGGGTTCGTGCCCCGGTCCGGGAAGATCCCACATGCCGTAGAGCTGCTGGGCCCGTGAGCCATGGCCGCTGAGCCTGAGCGTCCAGAGCCTGTGCTCCGCAACGGGAGAGGCCACAACAGCCCCCGCGCCCCCGCGGCAGTGGCGGCAGCGGCGGCGGCGCAGGCAGAGGGGAGGGCGGGTTCGGCGGGCGGGGCTGCGCCGAGGCGGGGCGGGGCGTCGGGCCTGGCGCGCCCTTGCTTCGCAGCCACAGAAACTTCAGCCCGGCCGGCGCTCGCCGGGGGCAGGCGAGGGGTGCTGCCCAGCAGCCCTGGTGACCACGTGCGCCAGGGCAGAAGCCAGGACCTGCGCCTCAGCCCGGGTCTCAGCCGGGAAGGGTCTGCGGAGGGCGTTCCGGAGGGCGGGGCCTGGATGCAGCTCCGCCAGCGCTCGGCAGGGGGCGTTTCAGACACGGCGCAGACCCATCCTGGCGGGTCCGGAAGGGGAAGGAGGGAGTCCGGAGACTGGGCGGTTCGGCGAGGGGCGGGGCCGGGGTCCCCGGGACGTGAGAGCGGGTGTGCGCGTGCGTGCTCAGCGGGCCGCGGGCCGGTGGCTCTTGGGGTACGCGCGTTTCTCCGGCAGTTCCTTGCCTGTGACCCCATGTTCTTACCCCAGACCCCGCGGTTACCGACCAGGCCTGTGTGTGCGGGTGGGATGCGCGGTGCGGGCTTGCCTCCCCATCACCTCTTGAGATGCCCCTAAATGCTGACCAGCTTAGCCTGAGCACCTTTCTCAGGGACCTGGGCCAGTGTATGCTGGTGGCACACCACAGGCTGGACCTTGCCCTGGGGTGGGGGGTGCACTGGAGTCAGGAATGGGGGTACGGGGGGGTGGGGGAGCAGGCCTGGCCAGCTCTAGATCTTCTGGAGGGCTGTTCACCGTGAGTGGCTGCTTTCATCCACCGCGTACATCCCTTTTGCAGAGGCTGCACTTTGCTGCCAGTGTCAGGAGAGGAAGGAGAGTTTCGAAATCAGGGCCGCGGCCCCTCCACCCACACCGGAACCAGGCTGCAGGCCGCCTCCATTGGTTGAGCTCTGGTGTCCTTACTCTGGCCTTAGCCCGGGTTTTGGTGAGGCAGTGGCCAGGCTTGGCCAAGGCTGACCTTCTGGTTTCAGTCTCCCTATTTAAAAATGACCAGATAGTTTGATGTAGATGTTTGAGCTGCGTCTCTGGGCTGGGAGGTCCTAGTTGCCATTTTCACCCCGCCCTCTCACTGTGGCCAGGTGGCTCCTGTGCTCTCTGGGATCACTTCGCTACCCTACGCTGTGGTGTCATCAGGTCATTGTAATGTCCTTGGGTCTAGGACAGCTTAGAGGCCTCTGAATGTCCAGAACTCTAAAATCGGTCCCTGCCGGCTGCCACTGCTGCAGGCTTCTCTAGCCTCCATCTTCCTTAAAAGAGGCTACCCTGTCTCCAAGCCCTCTTCACCCCAAATCTAACGGAACTGTCTCAGGCCCCAGCCTCTCCTGATTTCTGCGGCCTTGGACACAACTCCCCCCGCAGCCCTTGACTCCTAATTCCACTGTCTTCTCAACTCTTCCCCGGGGCCGCTGTTGTCCCTCCCCGACTCCCAGTCTGGCTTCTCCCAGCTGAAAGCCTGTTCCCACTGTCACCCTGATGCCACCTCCAGGACCACATTTCAGCTCCCTCTGGGACACCTCTGTGCCTGATGTCCCACACAATCCATCAGCAGGTTCCAAACCAGATGCAGCCACATTCACCCTCTTCCCTTCCGGCCAGCTCTGCTCCCTGGCTGTCGTGACTCTGAGTGATAGCACGGGCCTCCTGCTGTGCCACTTTGGACTCCCACTTCTGTCTCGTCCCCAGGTCCCGCCCATTCCCACTGGGCCACGTTCTTCCCATCTGACCCCTTTGCATCTCTTCCTTTACCACCACCATCATTATGACATCTCTTCCCTGGACAGGATCAGTGGCCCTTCGCCCGTCTCCCTGCCTCCTGTCCTTCACGTCCTTCCACGCGTCCTGCACGCGGCACCAAGCAACTTGTTCCACAGCCAGCTCTCATCACGCAGCCCCCGTCCAGAGCCTTCAAGGGCTCCGCAGAGCCTATCCAGGTCCAGGCTGCATCTCCATTGCCATCTTCGTCGTGCAGTCACGAAGTGCCCCTGGGCTCTGGGGTGGGTTCAGCCTGCATTCAGGGCCTCCCAGGCCTGGCTCCTTCCCACAGTGCTCCTGCCAACCTGAGCCACTCCTGACTGCAGGGCCCTTCCCTGCGTCGGAAATGCATCCCCACCTCCTCCACCCCAATGCTGGAGGCCCAGCTCAAAAGCCATTTCCTCAGAGACTCCGTGGAGCTGAGTCCTTGCCAGCAGAGTCTTGCACGGAGCGGGCAGCAGCGACATCACCCATGGGGGCCCGGACGGCAGGGACTTGGGGAAAAGAAAGTTGAACAGAGCCTCTGGGTACATGAGGCCTGGTGCTGGGGTATCCCTCAGGCTCAGGCTTCAGGGACCTCTACTGGAGGCTGCACAGCAAGGCCAGAGGTAAGACCAAAGCCAGAGAAGGCTAAGGCCAGAGACTGTGCCCCCAAGGGTGTGGCCCCAAGGGCAGAGGTGCTCATCTGTCCACACGGGTGTCCTCAGCATGGGTCCTGGAGGGCCAGGTGGGCTCAGTCAGTCCAAACATGACACCAAGCACCAAACGGCAGGCACCTTCTCCTGCTTCCCTGGCAGCGGGCGGAAGACCCCTTCTGCTACCGAAGGGTAGGAGGGGCGGAGTGGGGGCCCCTCCCCGCCCTGGGGTGCTTGGGCCTGGGCTGGCTGTGGATGCCCGCTGTGGAGGTGGAGGGCATCTGGCACCACCAAGACCCTCTCTCCTCAGGCCCCAGCCCCGTGGAGACTGAAAATGACCATCGGGCACAAAAAAGTCTGACACAGCCAAGGAGTCAGGCACCATTTTTTATAAAAACGCGTATATCATTTTTCACTCTTTAAAATCACATTCAAAAATCGGCAAAGAAACGCCCCGGGGGGGTGAGTAGATGGGAGTGGAGGGCCCGCTGACCCAGCCCCGGGGGAGAGGGCGCGACACCACACACGGCAGCGACTGGCATGAGGGGGCATGCTGCGGGCGAGGTGGCGCCCTGTGGGCAGTGGCACTGACGGGACACGGGGCTCTGGAGCTGGACGGCCGGGGGCACGCACGGAGCGGCCTGGCATGGGGAGGGCTGCCCCACCCGGCCCCCTCTCACTGTGCTGCCCGGCCAGCCCAGGCCAGGCCCCTGTGGTCCTGGGCAGAAGAGGCCCTGCCCGGCCCAGGGAAGGGGGGCTCAGGGCCAGGCGAGGCCAGCGTGGCACAGTCCACAGGTGCCTTTTCTGTGGTCCCTGAGCCTGGGCGCTTGGGGTGGGAAGAAAAGGGGGCTTCGGTGAGGGCAGCAGCAGCCGCTGCCAATGCCGCCCTCCTGGCCAAGCCCCGTGGTGTCCAGGGAAGGTGGGAACGGGGGACTCTTCCCAAGAAAGGGTGCCGGAGCCTAAGTCACGCGGGAGGCCCTGGGGTCAGGGAGACAACGGGCCCCCTTGTCTACCGACTAGCTGGAGGGCAGGTCAGTGCAGGGCTGTGTCCCTGTTACAGGAGAGGCCGCGGTGGGAAAATTCAAGTAGCATCCCTGCCCGGCGGCCTCCCCTGGGCTGGGGAATGCCG